AGATAGAGATAGATAGATAGATAGATAGATAGAGAGAGAGAGAGAGAGAGAGAGAGAGAGAGAGAGAGAGAGAGAGAGAGAGAGAGAGAGAGAGATTTCTGGGCGGTTTTTTGGCCCGCCCGGTTTACCCGGGTGGACCCCCCGGGCCCAACCGGCCGGGCAGCGTCCTCACTCAGCTTTTTTTTCATTTTTGCTTTTTTGAAGTTTTTTCGGTATGCCTCTGATGGATGCAGAGGGGTGTGGCAAGACTGAAGATTCTGGGCTCACTGTGGTTTGTGTTTGTGCTACCGTCTTCACCTGAAAATAACGCCCGGGTGTTATATTCAGCTCACCGGGCCTCACCCTAAAAAAGTCCGATTTTTCGTTACTCACTTTTTTTCCCCAGATGCAATGGCCCTTCAAATATTACTCCCAGGCCCCAGGTGTTCTATTGATGTGTTATATTCCAATAGAACACCTGTGCGTTATATTTGAATATGACATCGGCAGAATCCCTTGTAGGCAGGCAAATGGGGGGTATGCATGGGGTTTTAAAAGAAGGGGGGGAGAGGGCGGCCGGGGGGAGCGTGAAAGAGGTTTTGACTCGAAAGGGGTGTGATCTGGTTTGATTTTTTGTTTTCTTTTTTTATTTGCGAATTTATAAGAAATTATGAAGTGACCCTCAGCCAAAAGTTGGTTGCATTGCCATTCTAGAAAACATCTCTCTTTTACAGAATTTTTTTATTTTTTTCCCCCCCTAACTTTGGGGCCTAACCGAAGTTGCTCTGCCAATTTGCTGAACGTAAGGCGTGGCCGTCATAAATGAATATAATGCCTGCCAGGCGTTGTTTTTCAAGTGAAGATGGTAGTCGGAGCCTGCTCCATTTGTCAGACCAGTTTCGTTTGTCAATTCTGCAGTCTTCGTTTTTTTTCTTTTTTCGACTTTCTTACAGTTAATTGGGTATAGCTGCTACTATAGCATTAAATATAGACAGCCCCTAGCAAACCCAGGCTGTCTCAGGATGCTTTTGGAGTTTTTTTTTTTTTTTTCCCCCACTAGAGTGACTGGACTTGTTTGTGTGGCAACAACTTCGTTGATCCTGCAAGTTTGAATCATACCCACTCCTTCCCTGTGTTTGAACCTCCGAGGCTCCGACCTAATTTTTGATATGTGTACCCTTTTTCTGCACATGTATGCACTCCGTCGTCTGTTGCGCAGCTGGGGTTAGCTCTTTGCCTGTTGTTGATGACAATGGAGCGCTGGTGGATGTATATGCGCGCAGGTGCGTGGGTTCATTTTGTGTTTCTGATAACCTACTCTCACCTGGGACTCGTTTGCTCCAACCACATGCTATACCTAGTCCAGGGCTGTCTCATGAAACAGGTCTTCTTCTTCTTCTTCTTCTTCTTCTTCTTCTTCTTCTTCTTCTTCCTTCTCCTTTTCTTCTTCTTCTTCTTCTTCTTCTTCTTCTTCTTCTTCTTCTTCTTCTTCTTCTTCGTCGTCGTCGTCGTCGTCATCTTTCTTCTTCTTCTTCT